CAGGGTGGCTGCAACCTGGTGAGGTCGAAGTATGCAGTGGAGCTGGGCAATTTAGTCGTGCTCTTTGGAGCTGTGGCCTGAAAGGCAAAGCCTTCGATGCCGCCTGTTTGTACAATGAGATGGTGCAACCTTACTAGATGTAGATTTGTGAAATCCTAAGTTTGTAGCTCAGGTGCTCTACTCGAAGAACCATTGCCTTCTCCGAACAGTTGGCTTCCTTGCAGTTCTGGCTGCTGCCTCCACCCTAGCACACTAGCTATTATGACAAGATTTGGAACACTTTGAGTATTGAACTGAAACTATACATGAAACTACCGGGTCTTGAAGTGCATGGCTTCAGGTCAGAAACACCAAACCTGGAGGTGTGATTCTATTTGCACCCCCGTGTGCTACATGGGTGTTCCTGACACTTAGTGGAACATTTGTTCAACACATTTCGGAATTTAGCAAACCTAGCTAGTTTCTGACCCAGGAGTTCACCATCGACAGGAAGATCCTGGATGAACCCTACTGGCCACAAAAAAAAGAATGTCATGTTGCAGAACATCCTTGTCATACGGATGCTTTACATGCTGCTCAATCAAAACCATTTGAAATGCATGCCAAATGGTGCATGATTGAATTCCCACACCTGAACTGAGACTCTACTTCGCGTGGAAGCGTAATGTCTATTTCGTCATTGAGCAGCCTCTGAGTTCAGTGCATCCCTAAGTTGACTCACTAGTTGCGGGCTGCCCCGTCAGCAAATCTCTGAGGTCATGTTTGCATTTGAGCCGGTTCTCCGTTTCCTTTTGGAGTCCAAAGCGAGGAGAGGTCCTGACATATTAACGTTCGTGTTCCCTGCATACTTGCAATTTCAAATTCCAACATTTAAACAGGAGAGTATCATTTCCCATGGGGGCCTATGGGGCTCCAACTTTGAAGTTCACAGTGCTCCTTGCCATCATTAGGCAAACAAAGTCAACTTCTATTGTGCTGAATGTTTTTTGTGTGTGGCTGGTCTGCTGAGACTTTGGGGCACCCTACCTGGTCTTGGATCTCTTCGACGTCCTTTAGATGTGAAAATGCTTCGAGCTGCCTTGGAAAGGATTGTGGGGGGCTGGATCTGAAGATTGCCTTGGGTTGGGTGCAGGGTTCCAACATCCATGATCCCCTCAACTGCAGCGTGTTCTCCTTGCACTAGCTTGATGGAAGAGAAGAGATGCCTTTTAGTAAATTGCTTCTAGGTCGATCAGTATCGATGGGAGAGACCTTTATCCAAATACCTCATGCATAGTGTATAGCACAATGGTGTATTAGATCCATTGCATGCATGGTTGTTTTGTGGCTGTCGTTGTTCAGGAAAACATTGGTCAACATCAGATCAAATAAATCCTCCCCACAACTTTTGCAACCCCTCGGTTGCTGAAGCTGCTGTGCCCATTGGAATGGGAGGAACGGAGTCGAGCTCGTGAAGAAGACTGTGAACAAAAATGGCAAGAAATGTGTGGCATCTTGGTCGCATTCAATTTTGGATTTGGACCAGGATGGGGGTGATGATTTGGCAACACTATTAATTGTTGGATTGGGGCTGCCAAGGCTGGGAACAAGGAGAAGCTTGCCGAGAGTGCGAACTACCCTCGGGACTTTGGACTGGCCCTCGCACCTTTAGTGAGGAGTGGATCCGAGATGCCGCGCCCTGTATGCCATACAATAGATATGGACTATGCAGGGGCAGGTGATGACTTAGGAGCTTTGGACGACCTCCTTAAAAGCCCCAAGAGAGCTTGGTGGAGGAATTTGTAATTTGTATAGTGGGCAACAATGGGCTTGGCCTCATGAGCTAGTATGGTCATATATATATATATATAGAAACTATGGCCTCGAAGATGGTCAATGCCCGTTGTAGAAGGGAACCATGGATGCATTTCATCAGCATCCCCATATGATATCATGCCGGGTTTCAAAAATGGTCTCATATATTGTTTGCAATACCAGCTAGATGTAGCTAGCACACTGCTGTATTCTACAAAGCTTGATCGAGTTGAGATGCATGTGCACCATGTGTAGGATGCATGGGCAGCTGTATGTATTTTGGGGTCACTTGCGAGCCTATATAGGATATCGGCCATGTCCCGTAGATTCTTGGAGATCCAGTCGTTCCTGCGGATGATCGCTTGCGAACACGTATGCCTTAGCTGTTGGTTGGAGAACCTATCACCCTATCTGGAGGAGTAACTGGGTTAGATTGGATCATCGTGCTTTACTTTTGAGGAAATCCCATATGAAATCGTACCAAAGTGGGTTTTGAACTGATTGAATCCGAGGCAAGACATGATCACCTTGAGGGGCATTTGCAAAGATTGCCGCTGTGATGAGAAATCGGCAAGGAAATCCTGTGAGGATATACAAAGGGTCTGTGTTTTTCTGCCGGCTTGCGACCAAACCCGGTAGCAAAGCTAGCTTTTTGGTACTTGGCACTCGGCGTGCCCATAGACTAATTGCTAATTAGTGTTCGTCGGCTCGGATTCCTGGACACGGGGCTTGAAGTTGTTTTGGGACATGGCACGCCAGCTTAAGCCACCATGTTGTCCCAGAGATCTCCCGGCTGGGATCCCGAGCTTCTGAACTTCTTTTGTTGAAAAACTTCACTCCACCTGGAGGGGGTGATGCGGGGCAAAATCTGGTCCTCGGGTGCGTGTCAATGCGTGTCAATTGCGTGTCATTTGCCCTGAGGTAGGGGTGTCCAAACAACACCCCTTAGCACAAGGGGTGCCCAAAAGACATACCTTACAAGGTAAGGGGTGCCCAAAAAGCATCCTTTAGGAAACGTGTCAGGTTAGAGCGAACGTGTCATTTCCGTGTCAGTTTTGGAGCACATTCGTGGAATCGTATTTTTTTTTGCTGAACACGGCTCGATAGATTTTTGCTGGCTATCTGCTAGTTTCACCTGGCCATGGCTCCCAACCAGGTTGGGGGCGCAAAGCCTGGCTCTGCCAGTGCCAGGGGTAAAGAGTCGAGAACAGCAAAGACTGAGGCAGAAAAGGCTGAGAGGAAATCAAGTCGGAAGACTAAGAGTGACAAAGCTGATGATCTCAAGGAGAAAGACAGTGACACGACGGCAAAAAAAGGATGGGACCAAAAAGGATAGAAAGGAGAAGGAAGAGACACTGCCAAAGGTGGCAATTCCGACTATCTCGAAGAAGCAGATGGAAGAAGAAAGAAAGCTACTTGAGGCGTGGAAGGCGAAGGCAAGAGAAGGACTTCCATCCTCAGCTCGAGGTCCTCTGAAGAAGGCTGAAGAGGAGGAACGGGCTCCACAAGAGATGAAGGAAACAGAGGCCAAGGATGCAGCTGAGGAAGCTGGAAAGGCAAAGGAAAACAAAGAGACCAAGGAAGAGGCAAAGAAAAAAACACAAACACGAAAAGAAAAACGATGATGATGGGGAAAGCAGAAAGGAGCCAGAGAAACCAAAGAAGAAACAGAAGCCTGACAAGGAGTCGGATGAGAAGAAGAAAGATGAGAAGGAACCTGGCAAGGAGTTGGCTCAGAAGAAGAAGGGTGAAAAGAAGAAGGA